GGGTTGCCAGGAGAAAGCCTCTTCTCTCTAAAAAGAACATGGCAGCACGACTTAGGTTTGCGAAGTTGCATCTGAACAAATCACAAGACCTCCTGAACACTCCTTTGGAAAGACGAGATCAAAGTGGAGATGTTTGACCATAATGCATAGCACCACATTTGGCGAAAACCAAACACAGCATATTCAACCATTCAGGAGGATATGGAGAAACCATCTTTACAGAAAAAAACCCTCTATCTGAAGGGTTTTGAAAGTGTAAGCCAAGTTTAAGAGAAGAGTCTTTTAGTTAAAGGCTATCCTTTCAAGTCAGTTTTAGAGAGAGAAAATAAAAAATGAATAATAAATGAGAACTGAGTCTTTAAACAATTGGGATCTGGATGACAGACTAGAAGATCCAGCTGTATTTCTCACTTACAGTAATCATTTCCAAAGGTGATTTTTTTTCTTCTGCAAAATTCAGCCTTGGATATTTCGGATGTAAATGATGTTAGGTTGCTGTATGGAAAAAAGACCCTGCTAAAACTTAATGAGCTGTTGCCAGCTCTTCCCTGGCCTAGATGGACCAGAGATCTCATGTACCACAAACCACATTCAATACCCTGAAAGCTGAAAAATCTAAAAATGTGCAAAGGAAGAATTGAGGAACAAGATAGTGAAGGGAAACATTAGAGAGCCAGATCTAAGCAGCTTTCTGCAAAAAAGAAGAAAAAGCTGTAGCAAAAAAGAAAGGGAGAAAAAATAAAGTAAAGCAGGAAAGGACATATTAACAAGCAGATAAAATAAGTCTGCATCTCAAAATTTGAAATGCAAGATGAGGTTGAGTGGATACTTGAATGGGTGAAAAAAAAAAGCACGGAGAAGTAAGGTATTGCCATCAATGGTCTGTATTATCTTGTCTAGTATTTCTTACTGATGGGATCCAGATGGGCTAAAAAAGCATGCTGGCTGGGGAATTCTGAGAATTGAAGTCCACACATTTTAAAGTTGCCAAGTTTGAAGAACCCTGAACCCCAATGAGGGAGACAGGGAACCAAGGCAGTTAAGCAAAGAATTATATCGTACACAGGGAGTTAGCAAATCAGAGATCAGGTCCTGCAAACAGGTCTAGCTGTGGGAAGATGAAGAATTTGCCTCCTGCCTCTTTGATGGTACAGGTATCTGTTTTATGGATCTCTGTCTTCTGTACCTGAGTGTAATTACTTATCCTGATTACTGAAATTCTTTGACATAATAGCATAAGAGATCTTCATTTCTCAGATTAACCAAAACTGAAGATTGTACCACATAGTGGACAGCAAGGACAGTAAAGGTTTTTATTTTATACATTTATATGAATTAATTCCCCCCTCTGCTCTCACATTTCCTGAAATATCCCCATTAAATTGCAGTAGGTTTGTGAACCTGCACGGCATAAAAATGAATTCCTGAGTCTGAACTATTCATAGTTAAGATTTTAGTGGCAAAATCTGATGGCCACAGTCATATCTATCACACAAGAGAAACTGAGGTTTGGAGGCAGGTTTCTATATGCACTTCCATTTTACAATAGTTGTCTATTGAACTTCTGATTCGAAGGGGATGGTACTCAGTAACTGCTACAAACCTCCAGATGTCTGAGAATTAATGCTGAACTGGGCCCTGCGTTTCCTAGTGTCCTTCAGCAAGAGTAATGATCAGACTGCTAAACCTTTACTCACTTGGCTGTGCCTAAGCAGTAACGCCTGCTATCAACAGTTCCATTTGCAGTTTTGGTTAAACATTTTGTGTGCATCTATGTGTATATAGTTTAAATCTGTATCGCTAAAGTGTGGCTTTCGCAATTTTATAAATCTAAATAAATAGCAACTTCAGTTTGAAAAGAATAAGAACTCAATACTGTTACATAAGCATGAATGTTTTATGGGCTATTGCCGGTGAGGAATTACAGCATTACATTGCTTTGGCTGTTCGCTTGGGAATGGTCCCTGAATTTTCATTAAAACAGTGCTGGTTCATAAAGACTTTACACCTTCTTCGAAGGCAATTTTGGTTGTCATCTATGAGGAAAGACATAGCTGAGTACATGGCCAGCTGCCCAATGTGCGCTATGGCAAAAAGGCAGGGAGGTAAACAGATGGGTCTTTTATAACCAGTAGGGAGCCCTGTGAGACCTTGGAAACATTGCTATGGACTTTATTGTTGAATTACCCGAGCGTAAGAAGAAAGCAGTAATCTGGATAGTTACTGACTTATTCTCGAAACAAGCACATTTTGTGATATGTACCTCTATTCCTTCGGGGGGAAGTTGGCTAAAATGTTTATACAGCATGTTTACAGACCGCATGGGACCCCCAACCGGATCATTTGCGATCGTAGAGTTTAGTTCACTTTGAAGTTCTGGAAAACATTCCTGAAGTTAATTGGGTCAAGTCAAGCCCTGAGTTTGAGTCATCAGACGGTGCCTCTGAATGCCTGAACTTTGTGTTAGAACAATACTTAAGGTGCTTTGTAAATTATCAGCAAGACAATTTGGCAGAACTCCTGCCTTTTGCCGAAGTGGCTTATAACAATGCTGTACATCAAAGCACTGGGTTTGCCGTGTTCAAAGTAGCTACAGGGCAGGACTTTGTGCCAATCCCAGAGTTTCCCCAACAATCCACTCAAGTGACCTCAGCGGATGAGTGGATTAAACAGATGACAGATATGTGGCCAATAATTAAGAATTACAAAAAATACAGTGGTACTTCGGTTCACAAACTTAATTCGTTCCGCGACTCTGGTCGCGAACCGAATTGGTCGTGAACCGAATCATATTTTCCCATAAGGTTCAATGTAATTACGATTAATCCATTCTGAACCATATGTTTTTTTTTTTTAAACCGCAAAAATATGACACTAAGTACAGTATGAAGAGAGAGAAAGCTAACCTTGCTCTGGCGTGGAGGACAGGAAGGCGGGTGGGGAGGCGTTTATTGCTTGGAGGGAGAGTCCCCCTCCCTACAGGAAGCCGCGACCACATGTCACGGGAGGGAAAATGGCCGCGGATCCTATTGGTAAACCGATCTGGCGTTCGCGGAGGCAAAATTTTGCGAACGGAGCTGTTCGTGAACCGAATTGTTCATGAACCGAGGTACCACTGTACGCTGATCACAAGCGATCACCTGAAAAAGAATGGAAAGTGGGAGACAAGGTATACTTATTGACCAAGTACCTCAAAACACTGGAGCCATCGAAAAAATTAGGACCCAAATTTGTGGGGCCTTTTATAATAGAAAAGGTCATTAACCCCATCACAGTTCAACTGCAGTTACCAAAAAATCTTAAAAGAATTCATCCTGTATTTCATTGTAGCCTTCTAAAACCTTGCAAAGAATCACTGGAGTGGCATGCTACACAGCCACCCCCCGGCCCTGTAATGATTGAAGGCGAATAGCATTTTGAAGTGAAGTGAAGGAGATTTTAAATGCCAGAAACCACAGAGGGGAAATGGAAACATTTTCCCAAATCTCAATGCGAGTGGGTTGCAAAGAAACATGTGAGAGCACCGTAGCTGATCAAGGACTTTTACAAAAAATACCCAAACAAACCAAAGTAATGATTTCATTTAATGTTGAAAAAATTGTATATATGTTTTGCCTCTCTCTAATTTTTTTTTTTACAGGTCTTCATCCACAAAGACTGAAACTGGTTGTTTTTCCAGTGGGGTGGAATGTTAGAATCCTAGCAATCAATCAACCATCCTGCTAGTTTGCTTGCTTCATTTCTGCCATTACAGAGAAAAGGGGGGGGGGTTGGAAGGTGAATCATTAGGTGCAGATGGACTGTTATCTAGTTCTCAGGAATGCCCAAGGCTGTACCAGTGTGAGACCAGGAGAGAACCTTTGACATGTGCAAGAGAGACTTGGAGACAGAAGCTGAGGGGGGGAGGAGATGAAACGGACAGGGGGTAAAATCAAGTTTTGGCGCGTGCGGGACTTAGGTCTAGCAGTGCTTGAGAGCTGTATGCTACTTCTAAATAAATGAACTTTTTTTTGAACCTGCATCAGTTTCAAGGAGAGTTGCTTTCGTTGGGAGCTGAGCAGCGCAGTTTCTTACAAACAGATGAAGCCTTATATTTTAACTAAACATATTCATGGCAAATTATTTAACAGCAGTTGGATTTCTCCCACCACCACCCCCCCCCGATGTAATTTATAGCACAGATTGCATCTCCTCTGCCTGCATCTTGGTGCTCTTTAATTTTTGAGCACTTCTTTTGTCCTTGCTGTGCTTGAAAATGAGCAGATGTCAGGACTGGTTTCCACCTTGTAAATGAACTGAA